CACTAAGGGCATGCACCTCGGTTGTGGTTTGTCCTCAGCCCCGGTTGGGGTCGTGTGGATGGCAACCAATCGATGTGTCCCTTTTATGTTGATATTTCTCTCTCTCTCTTCCTCCTTCTCTCCCTCCCGCTCTATCTGAAAATAAAAGTGCAAAAAAATATCCTCGGGTGAGGATAAAAAAAAAAAAATGAGAAGGAATTTGCCAGGCAAAGAAGTAGTAGGCTTCTAGGTAAAAAGTCCAAATAAGCGTCTATTTTCACTTTCTCTCCCAAACCACTAAGACCATACTAAAGAGATTTTTTTCGTAAAGACATAAAACCACAAGTAAGGGGAGAACGGTAAGGAAAGCAATAGGAGCAACAACACTGTGAAAAGCTGGACAGTAGGTGGACAAGGAGAAACTACTTAGCAGACCTAACTCTAGGCCAGCGGTGCGAAAAACTGAGAACCGCCCTTCTAACACCAGAGAATCCCCGAAGGGCACAGCACTGGCCGCCAGGTGCCTCTGGGACTGGGGTAAAGGAGGAGCTGGAAAAGCAAAAGGTTGCTTGAAAAACAATCAGATCTCTGAGTCCCCTCACCCACTCCCTACCACTGGGTGATGGCTCCTTCCCCACCACCACCAAAGGTGAGATTTATAACTAGAGAGAGAAAATTTTGCCTGAGGATAAGCCAGTTGAGGGCCCGAGACTACTCTACAGAAAATGGACAAATGTAATCACCATACATATAAAATAAATACTTTATACAGAAAGCCCACCCCATCCTCTAATTTGTGTGTTCCCCATAAAACCTTTACCCTCCAGACAAGCTACTGGGGGACTATTCACTGAAGAATCTTGCTGAGAGAGGAAAAGACTAAAGACATGGGCAATTCCCAACAGTGGCCACCCTACAGGGAAAATCCGAGTTTTCACACCCCTCCTACTTGATTAGAACTTCCAATTGGCTTTTTAGTCTCCCACTCTTAGTCACTGGTTGCCAGTCATTTTTCTGAATATCTGAGAAAAACCTGTAAAGAGAATATTATGGGCCAAAACAAATAGAAAAAAAGCCAACTGGAAGAAACACAAGCTATACAAGGAGAAAGAAACTCTTAGAAAACTATCATTACTAGTCTCAGAGAGTAAAGAGAAGATATTACATTCTTGAAAAAGCAGGATGCTATAGAAAAGGATTTTAAAAGATCTTAGAAATTAAAAATTCATTAGAAGAGTTTATTTTTTATTTTATTTTTTGTATTTATCTTCAGATAGAGCAGGAGGGAGAGAGGGGTGAAGAGAGAGAGAGAGAAACATCAATGTGAGAGAGACACATCAACTGGCTGCTACCCACACAACTCCAACCAGGGCCGGGGACAAACTGCAACTGAGGTACGTGCCCTTAGTGGGAACTGAACCCGGGACTCTCTGGTCCACAGGCCGACGCTCTAACTGCTGAGCCAAACTGGCCAGGGCTAAAACTCATTAGAAGAGTTTAAAGATAACACTGAGGAAGTGTCCCAGAAAGTATAGAGCAGAAAGACAAACACATAAAAGGGGGAGAAAGGATCAGAAAATAGAGAATGATCCTTGGGAGCAGATATCCACATAACAGGGGTTCCAGAGAGAAAGAACAGAGAAGTCAGGAGAAAGACTCAACATCAAAATAATATCAAATTTCCCAGAACTGAAGGCATTCAGTTTCCAGATTGAAAGCGCCCAGGCATGCCCCAGGATGAAAAGAGACCCATATCAAGATACATCATTATGAAATAGCAGAACATTCTTACAATGTTCCAGAGAGGAAAAAAAAAGGTCTCTTGCAAATAATTAGGAAACAATTTCTGCTCCTGCTCTGAACAGGAACACTAGGAGCAAAAACAATCTCTTCAAAATTCTGAAGGAAAATTATTTTCGACTTTAACTTCTATACCCAGCTAAACACTCTATCAAGAGTAGAGAAAAAGACATTTTCAGACACAGGTTGTCTAACATCTACTTCCCCTATACTCTTCCTGGAAGCTACCAAAACAAAAATGTAAATCAAGATAGAAAAATGTGGAATACAAAACACAGGAAATCCATTACAGGAGAGAAATCAATCTACAGGATGACAATGAAGTGAGATCCTAGGATGTCAACCATGAACCAGACACAGAAAGCAACTAAATCATATTGGAGCAGAATGACTCAGAGGCGAGACAAGTTGAGAGCTGGTCATCACAATGCCTCCTGCTCTTGTACCACTTGTAGGACCTGTCGAAACTACTAACGGATGTTGTTCAATAAAGCCATACATTAAACCAAGAAAAAAGAAGACATGAGGTCCAGGAAACTGAATCAACCCAGTAGAAAGGCAAAGAGAAGACCCCGGAGAATAGCTGTGGATCAGGCATAAGAGACTATCAGTTCAAACAGAAGAATAGACATCTGCAAAAGGGATGTCTCCAAGGAAGTAACTGACAGAGTACTGATGGCAATAACCTAGCAGAAAATTGTACTAAGAGGCTATTACACCCTGGTTGGTGCAGCTCAGTTGCTTGGGTGTTGTCCTGTGCACTGTAAGGTTGCAGGTTCAATCCCTGGTCAGGGTACATAACTAGGTTTTGGGTTCAATTCCTGGTCAGGGCATATACAGGAGGCAATTGATCAATGTATCTCTCTCACATCGATGTTTCTTTCTCTTCCTCTCTCTTTCACCCTCTCTAAAATCCATTTTTTAAAAAGGCTATTAGAAGGTATAAGAAAAATTAGCAATAGATACCAAAAACTAATTAAATGAAAAACTAAAGCAAGTATTAACATTAGGAAAAACAGAAAAAAATACAATCACAGTATACTACAATGTCAGTTATGAATAAGATTGCATAGGCAGAATAAAGTAAGTAAGGGGGAGCAGAGAAAGTTATGGTAAAGAGAGTTGATTCCGCCCTGGCAGGTTTGCTCAGTGGTTAGAGCACTGGCCCGCGGACCAGAGTCACAAGTTCAATTCGGTCAAGGGCACAAATCTGGGTTGCAGCTCATCCCTGGCCCTGGTCGGGGTTGTGCGGGAGGCAACCAGTGGATGTGTCCCTCTCATGTTGATGTTTCTCTCTCTCTCTCTATCCCTCCCACTCTATCTGAAGATAAATAACAGGAAGACTAGATAGCATTTAAATTTGAAGACTCAGAAGCTAGCCGTACTTGGTATGATGGAAATGCATGTACACCAGAAGAAGCAGTTAAAAGCTGAAAACAGTTGCTTCTAGGAAGACAAATTGGTGGGAGGGGTGAACTGCTGTATTTTGATAATATGCCTTGCAGTGTCTTAAATGATGGACATGTGTTAGTTGTATTTTGGTAAAATAAAATTCAATTAAAAAAAAATTTTTTTTTTATCCTCACCCAAGGACATTTTTTCCATTTTTTGTTCAGATAGGGAGAGAAAGAGAGAGAAACATCGACGTGAAATGGACACATCAAGTGGCTGCCACCCACACAACCCAACCAGGAATGGGGACACACTGCAACCGAGGTACATGCCCTTAGCAGGAACTGAACCTGGGTCTCTCTGGACCCCAGGCCGACACTCTAACCGCTCAGCCAAACTGGCCAGGGCTTAATTTTCTTTAAAAAGAAGGATTAAGGACTTTCTATATAGGGAAAATAGCATATGCAAAAACACGGAGTTGTGACAGAGCCACACTTAACCATCAGTGCCACAGTAAGGAAGGAGAAACAGCATGAGCAGACCCCATCAGAGGCTGCAGAGCAAACGCTTTATCTCCTCCTCACCAGCTCTGTGGGCTTTGGCCAGTGACCTGGACTGTTCTAGTTTCCTTCTCTGAAAAATCTGACTAATAATAGCACTTACTTCAATGACAATGGAAACAGATGAATGTTGTAAAACGTGTTATGCTGTACAAAGGTAAGGGACACAGGCACATCTCTGTGTCTCCTGGAACAGACAGTGTTCTCAGACTGGCGCTCAGAGGGCTCTGGTAAAGGTGAGGACAGCCCAGGGGGAACCTAATCCCAGAGACGCGGTTTAGCTGGCTGGAGCAGATAAGCCCCCCAGAAATCAGGGCATACCATAGCTGGAAACCACCGATGCCTTTGATATAAAATACAGGTTTGTGGAGGGAACCCTGACCTAGAACCCTTGAACTGCTGGCTGAACAGCCGGGAACAGTAGGTATACTGCTGAATCCTGCAGGAGCCAAAGTGAGTCAAGCTGGTGCAACGGAAGACTTTACTGGGAGGTCCGCGGGAGGGACAAAGCCTGGGTCCAGCTGTCCAGTATCTCACTCCTCCACCCTCCCTTCCAAGCAACATCCTTCTGCGTCCTGTTCTACCAACCTGTTGCTTCACATTCTACCGTAAAGATCAGTGAAGTGCAAATATGAATAGCCTTCTCTTAAGGCTATTAAATATATAACACTTATACAGTACTCACTGTAGGCTGGGTACTATCCTAAATGCTTTGTAGGTATTAATGCACTCAATTTCACAATAACCCTACGCAGTTCATACTGCTATCATTCCCCACTTCACAGATGAGGCACTGAGAGGTTATGTAACCTACTCAGTATCACAAAATTGATAAGGGGACAGGCCAGAATTCCAAGCAAGGCAGTCTCTCTCCAGGTCTGCAGTCAGAATCACTGTACATCACTGTCTCTAGACGTGAGACTCCCAAGCCTCAAACTAATCAGCTGTAAAATAGGGGTGTTTGAGAGAGATGGCTTCAAAAACCTCTTTCAAATGAATTGCTTCTTTCCTTGGAACTAAGATTCATCAGTCGTGTATGCCTATGCCTGAAGGTGAGGAACCTTTGTTGAAGGCAGGTTTTTAAAAAGAGCAGGGTATATATGCGGCTCCAGAATGGGAGGTGAAAGGGTGGTTAAATGGGAGAGAAAACTAAGAGAACAAATGTCAACTTGCACACTTTCGTGCACACAGTCAATCCCCCTCCATGCTCGTCCCCACAGCCCCCTTGGGCCCTGCTCTGTGGATGGAACATAGAGATGGTCTCGTTACCTGTGATGATGCAGGTGAACCTGACGTCGCTGTCCTCGGACACAGCCTGGGACTTGAGTGTGGTCTCGAATACTGGCTGGGTCTCCTCTGTTAGCTGAGCAATGATGGAGCAGAAGGTGCTCCTAGGAAAGGCAAAGAACTATTCAGAGCAGCCTCCCCCCCAGTGTGCCACAGCCTGGCATTGTCCAAGGCAGCTTAAATCTTACCATGTGCATCTGTCACCCGGGGCCATGGCCAGCACCTAAGTCTTTCTTGAAGAAAGCCTTGGCCCCTTGGTCAGGTGGGGGCAGCCATTACCAAAGGACTGAATGGAATCCTGATCTAGACCCACTACAAAAGGAAGGCTTCTGATTTCTGCGCATGCCAGATACCAGGCTGGCGTCCCATCCCATCCTTATTAGGGGTCTTGCTTCACCCTCCACCTTTAACTTCCAGGGAAGCTCGTGCATGGATAGACTCAGACTCAGAGAGGGAGACCCCAGCATAGCAGAGCCTCCACTCATGCCAAAGGCTCAGGAGCCTATCTTAAAGCTCGGGCTCAGAGAAAAACAAAACAAAACAAACAAACAACAAAAAAAAAACAACCCCTGCATTTGCGAGCACAGACCCATAGCAGACAAAAAAATAAGCCAGCCAATGCCAGGGGTCTAGAGCCAAGTTCCTAGGGGTATTGGAAAAGAGAGACTCAAATGAATTCTGACCCTAAACAGGGCCATGGACCTGCCGTGGGAAGCCAGCCATGGCCCCTTGCTCCATCCCTAGGGACCGCATGCTCAAGTGAATACATGGCTGGCAGCTCCAGCACCAACCAGCAGGACTGCTGGACTATAAAAAGTACTTTTAGTTCCCTGTGACAGTCCGTCTCCCAGAATTCAGAGGCCTTTGTGGGCTCATTGAGTCCAGTACAGACTCACCAACACTGTTCAGCATTTACAGTCCTCTCCTTCCTGGGCACAGGAAGCAAATCACTGTGCCAAACCTTTTCGTGGGCCAGCAGAGACTCAACGCGTCCCCAGGCGTGAAGCGTAACCACATAGCCAGGGTGTATGGTGCATTAGCTGTGCCCAGCCATCCTCCCCGTCCCAATTCACACACCCTATCACGAGCAGCAGGGAGGACTGTGAGGGGTAAAGTGAAGAGAAGCCGTAGGAACTGTGATGAGAAAGACAAATCATTCAAAGCTGCCTTTCTCTGTGCCTCGGAGGAGGGGGTGGTTACCCACAGGCAGTGTGTGCATCCCCGTGATCTCTCCACCAGGAGCGGGCAGGGTGAGGGTCTGTGGGAACAAGCAAACAGGAACAACCCTACACTTTCAACATTCAATTTGTCATTTCCGTGGCTATCATTCTGAACTCGAGCTGGAGGAGGAAGGTTATATCCCTGGAAGAGTATCTGGAATCAAGTAAGACTTTCGAACTGACAGGGGTGTAGCCATGGCTTCTCTACAGGAATGTAGATGTCCAGACCTTCTGGGAGAACAGGAGGCCTCCCCCACAAAGACGACCTAGAAAGGGGGATCCTGATCTCTCACATAACTGAACCCTTGAATGAGGTTGCGGTTAGACTACCATGACACTCCCTGCAACACTCTGACCTACAACTTATCTGTCCGTAAATTATCTTTTCCTTTCTCTTTAAATCCCTCCAACACAGAGGGTCCTTCAGGACCTACACTATCAGCTCCCTGACACTCAGGGAATATAACATCTGAAAACGTTTCTCGCTGCTCTCACACTAACAGCAGTTTCTGGCTGAATCCAAACCAACAGTTTCTAGATTAACTGCCACACCAAAAGCCATCAGACTACTATGATTTTGCAACTAATTCAAAACATTCCCAATTATGTCCTCCCTCGTTAGTTTGAATCCTATCTTACTCATGAACATGAGCCTGGATCTAATATTCAGCTTAGGCTCTTAGAGATGAAGCTGCTTGAGCAAGTCTAAGAAAATAATTTCAATCACCGGGTCAGAAAACATAGCAATCCAAATTCAAGAAAATTTGCAGAGACAAGTGCTCATGCCACATATTCAACAATCGGTAGTTATTTTCCTTCATTACTTTTTTTTTTTTGAATGGGGAAGAACACTTATCTTCTCAAACTTTCCACACTAGGTCCTAAGCTATATTATTAAACATATATTTAAATTGGAAAATCATAGTAACTGCTAAAAGGCATGCCTGATATACATTTGAAAATGGATGTGGAATGATGATTATTCTTATGCAGCATAATGTATCCATCTATCCTTCTTATGGGACTTTCTTATGCTTCTACAGACCCAGGGATGTGAAATAAAGTTATCTCATATTTGTAAAAAAAAAAAAGGCATGCCTGGATGAGGCCCTCGAGGGGAGTGGGTCTGGGATGCACGTCAGGGGACAGTAACTGCATACGCTGTCATGTTCCACGGAATATCACATGCTTTCTGTCCCCATCCTCCAAACCACTTGGACATGGGATGGAGTCAGTGTGTTGCTTGCTTCCAGTCCACTGGAAAGCCAAGAAGTCCACACATCTGGAAATGGTCTGTTCCCACCCTGACACCTCCAAGTCCTTCCAACTCTGTGACTTCATAAGGCTATCACAGCATAATCATGTGTTCTCTAGAGAACACCAGAATCATTAGTTTACATAACGTTCAAAGAAACCTAACCTTGCCCTTAGGCTTGGTTATTTTACCTACTTTACAGGAAATTCCAAGATTGTCTCTTTCAGCACCGACCACGCTCCGCTTGGAACGAGCTGAAATACCCTTTCTTCCATCCAGAACAAGGTTCCTTACTGTCCTCATCAAAGGAAACCTACATGGTAGGTGCAAATCACGCCTGCAGACATTATTAGCTACTGAGACCGGTTGGCTACTTAGGAATCCTTCTCTGTGTAAAGAGAAGTTGTAGCCAACTCTCCCCAAATCTACCAGTCTGGGATGAGTCCCAAGTGGTGGGAATAGCCAGGAAATGCTCCCAACTTTGATTATAATAGTCGGTTCAGCCAGGGGTAGAGAGCTGTCCCCAGCTCGGGAAGCAAGAGGACAGTCATTCACTGGGCAAACCCATCTGTGGCCTGCTCAGGCCCGGCCCTGGCTCTGCAGCAGATTCAGAGAACAAGCTAATGCAGAAATACACTAACACAGAGTCCCCCGACCTCACAGAGTTTACAGTCTGCAGGAGTGGAGAAGAGCCAAAGGAAAGGGAAATCCAGAGAGGTGGTAGGAGAATTTAAGGGACTGAAGAAAAAAAATTTAAGGCAGTAGCCATGGTTAGAAGATAGACAGTGAGATGTCAAACCTAGATATGTCGTTACAAAAACAATGAAAACCTAGGAGGAAGAAGTGGGTCACATGACTGGTGGCTCCCTGTTCTGGTCCAAAGATGCCTCTCCCAGGTGCACAGAGATATAGTGCAGGCATCTCAGAACGCTTGCCTATGCCTGGGTCCCCGCATCCCTTTCAAATGGTCCATGCAAGCATCAGGTGTGGCCCCTGTGAGACCCATGCTCACGTGAGTACCTCTCACACCCTCTGTCACCCGCCCGTTAGCCCTCCCCTCACCCCATGCAGCCTGGTTAGTGCACAAGCAGTCACCCAAAGGCCCCTCAGTGTCCATACCCGAGAAAAAAACCAGTCAATGTAATGCAATGTGCATTTACCTTCCAGAGCTGGGGTGAGACAATCGGTTGCTTGATAAGCTAAGCAAAAACAGCAAATGGAATCATTAGGCCAAAAAAGCAAGGAGAGGAGGAGGCGAAATCAACAACAGTCTGCAAAGTATTAACCAGCCATCATCTCGGGCCCAGAGGCCTTTCTATTAAAAGGGACCAGCTGTCTTCGCTGGCCTGCTCCGGTTTGCAAGAGGCCTCACCACTAGACATCAGTCTCTCTGAAACCAAGAGCTGGTTAAAGGCAGCAGGAGTCTGGGGAAATGGTTAGGCAGAAAGGAAGCCCATGAGGGCTGCACTTTGTGAAAGGTGTGTCCCAGGTACTTCAGTCACTGCCCACAAGAGGGGGGCTTAGAGCTGCCTGGCACAGTTCTCCTGAGGGCAGCTCCTGCTCAACCCTCAGCCTTGTAGGGGAAAAGAGCCCCCATTCCTGAAAATCCGCTAACAGAGTGGGAAGGAGTCGGGTAGCTTGGAGAACGCCTATTAATGTGTTAAAGTTCGGTTAAAGAGGCCACACAAGGTAAACCAGCTGGGACAGTGAAGAGGAAAAAAACAAAGCAGTTAATTCAGCAGGAGCCAGGAGGCACCCAGCTTGGTCAGACTAGCACAAGGCCCGTTATGCCTAGAGTCCTGATCATCCCTTCTGCCCCGGGCAGCTGAGCGTGGACACTAGCTAGGGGCTGTGTAGGCCACTGCGGAAATCCAGCCCACTCTACCTCTCCCTCCACCTTCCTGACACAGTATCTCCAGTGAAGTCTCGGGCCACCATCTCCCGTGGTTCTTTGGGAAACCTCAGGGGCCACCCCATCCACTCTCACCCCTTGCAGCTGTCTCTGCCATGGGAACAGCTCTCCCTTCGCTGCCTGCAGCCCAGCCTGCTCAGCGACACTCGAGGTCCCCATCTCTAACCACAAGAAAGCTCCAATGGCAGCTTATCTCTTTATAACAAAAAAACAAACTCATCCTCTACCCAAAAACATGGCTTCTGCTCCAGTGGGTCTGCAGATACCACCAGCTCTTGCCCAAACTCCAAAGCTCTAACCTGCCACTCTGGACCCCTCTCTCTCCTCCAAAACCTACATTCAGTCAAGCAACACTCTAGGCCAGCGGTTCTCAACCTTCCTAATGCCGCGACCCTTTAATACAGTTCCTCGGGTTGTATGTGGGCGTATCTGCATGTGGGCAGACCCACCAGGAGATGGAGAGAGGAGCGGGATCTCAGTTCCTAAAACCATCGGGAATATGTTTTCCGATGGTCTTAGGCGACCCCTGTGAAAGGGTCGTTCGATCCCCAAAGGGGTCGCGACCCACAGGCTGAGAACCGCCTGCTCTAGGCCCGTCTTTCTCCCTCTCTCTCTCCTCCCGATATTGTGTTCTGACCCAGATCCTCATGGCTCCTCCATATCTGATGACCACCTCAACCCCCTTCTTCTTCAGTCCCCCATCATATATTATGCTGAGTCTCTACTCCTTAACTGGGCACTTAAGGTCCTTCCTGACCCGCTCACACCTTCACTACAACCATGGTTCTCCGCTTCCCAACACTCAGGTTCTACTGAAACCAGGCCTGTTCCTAACTGGCAATATCACATCCATCTCTGGCCTCTGAGCCCTCACCTTTGTCCTCCCTGCTTGGAAAGCCCTCCCTCGTTCCTTCTGCTCAACTAAGTCCCGCCACCCAGTTTTCCAATCCACCTCTTTTTGTGGTTTCTACAGACCTAGCGCAGTGCTAGGCGTACGAGTATTCCACGACGGTTTCACGGAAGGAATAAAGAAACGGAAAGAGCGAAGAGGAGGGAAGGAAGGGAAGAGCATCTGTCAAACAGGAAGGGTCCTGCCTCCCAGAAGGAACTGCTGCTCCAGAAAAGATGGGAAGAAGAAAGCAAGAATGCAGCTGCCTTTGCTCAGAGCTTTAAAAATCCTCTCGAGGCAGCGTGGGAGGAACCTCCCATGGTTCCAGGCACGGGCCAACTCCATCCTTTCCTGACCATGAACTTCCTTTGCCTTTCTCCACAGAATCGAGAGATTTCTCCTTTGTTGGGTCTGGATTTCTGCCCTGGGAAGTAGAGGGAGAGAATCAGCTGATTCAGAGAGAAAAATGACAGGATCCGCAGCCTCCACGTGCAAGTGGGCAAGGCACTGAGCTGGAAGAGGGACCCCTCCCCGGTTCTCTCTCCAGGGCTGGTTGGGATGCTGTGCTCCCTGGCCCCATTGTCCTGCTTTCTCTAGACCCCGCCCTTAGATCATCACCCAGGTCAGAAGGACTCCTGGGTGATGGAGGCACCATGTATTCCGAAGGTGGAGGACATGACTGTGCCCTGCGGACCGAGCCAGAAGGAGGCTCAGGGCTCTAACAAGGCAGGGAACTCCCCATTCACTGACTCCGAAGGGGTCAGAATCAGAGGCGTCAAGTGTTGGGGCAGAACGACCTAGAAGAGTTCTTAATGCCACCTTCATCTTACAGAATGAAAACTCAGGGATTAGGAAGGAAATGTCTCTTCATAAAGGGGAGAAGCACACTTGGGGAGAACCAGGACTGGCCACGGAAGCTGGAGGCCTCCCATCCTTCCTCGATTTCATATATTCCGGGCCATAACCTTGGAAAGTCCTGACATGATACCTCAGTTTCCCTGGAAGCCCTAGACAACCTGCATGACCTAAGCAGGTATTACGAATTGTCTGTAGCAAACCTCATAGGTTCTGCTGCTCCTCTGAGCTCACCTGGTTGGACCAGGGCCTCTAAGAAATGAGGGGGCAGTGACTTCTGGGACTTCTGAGCGTCCCTCAGAAACTAGTTAGCTATAATTGCATTCACCCAACTGTGGTTCCTTAACCTACTCGAGCCTACCTGTCTCTAGGGGTGAAGTCCCTAGGAGGCTGGGTGGAGAGTTTGCTGGGACTATTTATATGTTGGATCTCTGACCCCAGTGGACATTAGCAATATCCTTGAGCTGACTATGGACAGGAAACCCCTCCAGGGCTATTGGGTGGGGGCAGGGAGACAGGTTCTAGACCTGGGCCAAGACTCCTGCTCAGCCGGGCAGCTGGAGAGTGAACACAGTGTCCACTCTCCAGCCTTTCCCCTAACAGCCCTGATCCCTGGCCCTCCCCCTTCTGCCTGCTTTTCAAACCACCTTCTCTTCCCTCCCTCCACTGCTGCTGTCTCCCCGAAAGGCCCTGCTTCTCTCTCCTACTTGTTCCACGGGTATTGACAAAGGCCAGACATAGGAGGCAAAGCTCAGATAAGTCACTGTGACAAGTGTGAGGTTCCTACGAGACTTCACCAATGCCTCGAATTCCAGTGTTTTCATGGAGCTGGTAGTTAGGAGCAAGGGGCATTCTTTCCTAGCCGTCAGGGGCCTTGTCCAGTCTGACTCAGTCACTGACACAGCCCTCAGCCCTGCCCCAGACATGTGACACCATTTGACGAGTTTTATGCAGAATCAGGTTCCGGTTACATTTGAACTTTTCCAACTCCAAGGTCAACAGAACTCAGCCAATTCACGAGGAAGTGCCTGGGACTTTTCCTAAATGTCCTTGATGCCTATTTTTGTGCTGTTTTAGGGGCTGAGGACAAGAGGTGTCCAGACAGCTTCTCAGAGTGGCTGTTTTCTGTGCTACAACAAGCCAAGTTCAGGGACCAACCTTCACAATTCCCTTTGGAAATTATGCTCCGGAATTGGAGGGAAACCGAGCTGCCCAGAGGGGTCAGGAAGTGTCATCTCCATGGCAATCACGTGTCCCTGGGTGTCTGTGTGCCTCTGAGTGCCTGTCTGCTTCTCTACTGTCTGTGTGTCTCTATATCCGGGATACCCCAGGTCCGAAAACAAAGCACCCAGCCTCTGTAACTCTTGGACAAGAGTAAAGGGCACATCAGTTCGGTCCCTCCCTTGGCCTCTGCTCCCCCAAACTGGGCAAGGCAGTTGGCTTCCTCAGAGCCACACGCTGGGAATCTTCCCACAGGGCCGACCAGCACCCCATCTCACCCCGCCACCTCATCGGCCCCCACAAAGAGCCCGGGACCAGAGTCCTGGGCGCAGAGGAAGAACCGCACTGGCACAGGCTTGCATCTTCCTGGTGACCCCCGCCCCAGCTGAGAGCCCCCACTCCGGGCAGGGCGGCTCCCGATGTCCCCCGACCCCACCTGCTGTCCGCTCTCCCCTCCCTTCCAGCCCGCAGGAATCTCAGGCTCTGGCTTCTTATCGCCCCTGTGGAATCCGAGGCCCCGAGCAGCAGTGGGGCGAGGGGGCGGCGGGCGGGGGAGGCAGGGAGACCAGGGGCCTGCGGGCCTGGGAAGTCGCCCCAAGAGGCCCTTTCTCCTCTGGAGCCTCCGGGCTGTGAGGGGCCACGAGGGACCGTGAGGGACGCGAGGCGACGTGAAGGCCATCGCGGCCCGGCCATGTCCCCAGGCTCGGCCTCCAGAGGCCGGACCGCGCCCAGGGCCCTCCCGGCGCCGCCGCCGGCCCCCAGGGCGCCACTCACCTGGTCTCGGGCCGCACGCTGAGCAGGTAGCTGCGGCTGGTGGGGCTGGGGGTCCACACGGGCCCGCCGTCCTCGCGGTCGCCCCGGGCCCAGGCCCGGCCCCCTGCGCCCCAGGCTCGGCTGGGGGCCCTCCGGGAGCCCATGCCGCCAGCCCGCCGCCGCCTGGCCCCGCGCGCCCTCCGCCCGCCCGTCCGGCCGCGGCTCCCGCCCGCCGCTGACGCGCGCCCCTATTTATAGCCGGGCGGCTGTCACCTGCTGCTGTCCCTCCCCCGCCGGCCGCTGACCCCGGGGCGCGGGCCCAGCCGAGGGGCCCCTGCGGTGCGCGGACCGGCTCCGGCTCCGGGCGAAGCTGCGAGGCCAGAGGCCCGAGAGGAGCGCGGGGCGGAGGCCGGACGCTGCTCGGAGCTCGGACCTCGGACCGGCCCGTCTTCCAGGCGCCGGGGCTGTGGGTCCGGCCCTTGGACAAACCCGCTCACCTGACAGCGACCTCAGCCCCCCTGGGAGGCCACCCGTCCCCTGGCTGTGTCTTCCCTCCGCCCTCTAGCACAGATTAGGGGCTCAGTCAACACTTGTGGGATCACTGAACCTCCTTCTTCACCCCTGTCAGCCTCCACTGACCAGCACCTGACGGGGAAATGGACTGAATCCTAAAGCCCAGAAAAACACTCATTCACCAGCCTCTGAGAGCAAGGGTCCCGTGCTGCCTTTTCACAACTTTCTAACCCTTTCCTTCCCACCCCCTCCCCACTCCCCCAACCTGTCCCCTCCTTTTCCCCTCTTAAAAGTCATATTCAGCCCTGGCCAGTATGGCTCAGCGGTTAGAGCGTCGGCCTGAGGTCCGGAGAGACCCGGGTTCAGTTCCCGCTAAGGGCATGTACTTCGGTTGCAGTTTGTCCCCGGCCCTGGTTGGTCGTGCGGGTGGCAGCCACTCGATGTGTCCCTTCACGTCGATGTTTCTCTCTCTCTCTCCCTTCCTCTCTCTCCCTCCCACTCTATCTGTACAAAAAATGGAAAAATATCCTCGGGTGAGGATTAAAAAAAAAAAAAAAAGTCATATTCCAAGCCCTCCTCAGAACCAGTCTAGGATAGAAATAAGAAGCCTTCCTCTTAGGGAAAGAGCTTCGTAGAAAGCAGAACCCACCCACCTTCTCAGATAACAAAACTACTCAGCCCTGTCAATCTGTGCACAATGAGCCTGAGGGCAAACCTCCAAGCAAATTGGTCTAAGGACTAGAAAACCCCAGAGCAAAACAGGACAGATATATAGTTGGCCCTGGGCTATGGAAAGCAGAGGTCTAGGAACAGAGTTTTCCAGTTGAGTGTAAGCCAGATCAAAGAGCAGCTCAATCCCTCTCTTCAAATGTCAAAGGCAAAACCAACTATCCCCATTTTCACAAAAAGAGAGGGAAAGGCTATAGGATTAAGTTTCAGAAGATCTAGTAGATTTTCGACTATCTGTCTACATGTGTATAGATATAATACCATGTCTACCTGACCCACTATCACCTAAGCATTCTCTGGGATGGGGGTTTTTCTGGATTAGAATTGACTCAAATGTCTTTATCGTATCCTTGTGCCTCATTTTCCATGCAATCAGGTAGTCACACATTTGTTGATTTGTTGGTATTCATGCACTAAAAACTCCATTTGCAAATAATTAAAAAATAAGAGCATTTTAAAAGGCCAGTGCATGACACAGTGAACTAGCTCAAAAATTCATCTGGACCTAGGTCCCTACGGAAAAGAGCCCTTGGGTAACAGAAGGATTTGAAGATGTTTGGGCATGATCAAGTAAACAGTTCAGACTTGGAAGTGTTTGACAAAAGCCAAAAGAAATAGGTGCTCATAAAAGAGCTAGGACTCTATCTGAAGAAGCATAAGTGTGATGCAAATAGAAATAAAAATAAATGCAGATAAAAGCGATAACGCCTTGGGGGCGGGAGGGAGCAGAGTAGGAAGGATCTTGTCCATTTTAGGCTATAGCTAGGCCAATAAATAAGACAAATAAAAAAGGAAATTCAGTGTGTTCTTGCCTTTGAGAAGGTGTCCTCTATTTTGCCATAAACATATACAAGACCTAGAAGATAAAATCTTGCCAGCCTCAAGATCCCCAGAGATTTCCCACCCCACAATTTGACAGATGTAAGAACTGAGGCCAAGAGAGATCAACTGACTTAGTTACAGAGCCCAGACTGGAACCTAGCTTCTGATTTCATCATTCTGTCACACTACCAGTGCTACCAGTGAGTTTAGTCAAAAGAAATAGTGATAAATACTAAGGAAGTACTTCTGCAGAAGTAAAAAGCTATGTGCTCAACACTATTCCCTGCAGTGATGAAGTAGGAGATTCAATGTATACTGGAAATGGGTAGGTAAGTTATGTTGATTTGAAAATGATTACAATTATTGAAAATGATGATTAAAAGACTATAGAGAAACATGAAAATGTCCAGACATAATGTCAAGTAGAAAAGAGCGGGGTACAAAATCGGGGACAGTGCAGTGACTGGAAGTCATTCACACCCAGCTCGGCCCCTTTACTAGCTCTGTGGCTTCAGGGAAATTACTCAACCACTCAGAAATGCCAAAACAATAGTAGTAGTATCTGTCTCCTAGGACTGTTCTGAGGCTAAATAAGAGAATGAATGTAAGAAAAATGTTTGTTATGTAGGAATGTTTGATGTTAACCACTGTCATTTATCGTAATTATACCATACATTCAGCTATGAACTGAACAAGGATTGAAAAGTGATATGAAAAAAAAATGAAAACCACTGCAAAGGTAAGAAGGGATTGTAAATATGCACTTTTTATTTTCTCTGATAACTCTATATCATTTCCAAAAGGAAAGAGCAATTTTAAGGAAGGACCTCAAGGAAATCCCATACGTGGGACCTGGATCTCTGGCTCCAGTTCTCCCAGTTCCTAAGGCTGCTGTCAGATGGTAGCAAAGGTCAACAATGACTTGAATCCCTTAGAGAAGGGGGAGGGGTTCTAGAATCTAGGTGATCCTGCCTTGCTCAGATCAGACCCTGAGGAAATCTGATTCTTTCATTCATGCATGCATTCATTCATTTACTCACTCTGAACCACTACTGAATGCAAGGAACTGTGCTAGGGACTTTTAAAGAATTTGATGGACCCACCGGATGAATTTAGAACCATCTCCATTACACAAGTAAAAAAAGCAAGCTTCAGAACACTTTGTATAGAATGCTACCATTTGTATTAAAAATAGATATATAAATATACATATTTATAAACGTGTAAATTCATAGAGTTGCTCAGAAAGGATACACAAGATATAGATAACAGCGATTAATTCTGCAGAGGGGATGGGGAACTGAAGGCTGACCTCCATTAGGAAGCTTCTTTCTTTTTCATTGTATACTCTTTTGTACTGTTTGAATGTCTTACCATGTATATGTATTAATTTTTCAAAACACACAAAAAATTTAAAACAAGTAAGGTGTGTTCAGTGCTGAATATTCAGTGGTGAGAGAGCAGGTGGGGGGGGGGGGCTAGGGTCCTCAGGCTTGGGGAAGGCAAAGTGTGTTGAACTTGCTGGGCCACAAGTGTTAAGTTTTCAAAATCCAGACTGTTTACATAAATTAAGGGAACGGCTCTTTCTACACACTCAATGAGCTTATAGTCACTCAGCATATCATTTTACAGAGATAAAGCAGTTGGAAAATAAATACTAGTCATTTGTCAAGCCTCAGCATGTATTAAATAGTAGTTTCTATGAGGGTGGGGATTTTATCTGTTTAACTTGATCAGGAGAGCACTCCAGCTAATGTACAGATAAGTGCTTCTTACTGCAAGCATTTTCTGATAAAAAATGACAGCTCAACCATTAAAAACACCTTTAAAAGAAAAGATCAAAAGATATTGGACCCTGAGGGAACCATGTTCCCTGTGAGGACTAAGCAGTCTTTTCTGGGATCCCCACCCGCCCCTCCCGCCAAAGGATCGTCTTCAAATGGCAAGTTAAATCCCTATGAGAATCAAAGGTCATGGAGATACTGTCTATGCTTTTTCGTTACAAGCAAATGTGATGTGCAGGTCCCTACTTGGGGTGACAAGGCACAGACTGACTCCAAAGAGAACCTGGCACTCCAACCACAGGGGAGGTAGGAAAGTGGATGTCTCAACGGCTGCAAACCCGACACGCCGGCAGCCAGCCAAAGCAGCTGGGTCACTAAGGCAGCACAGTGGTTGACACCATGGACTTTAGAACCAGACACGCTTGACTCAGCACCATTGCTTACAGGTGGCCCGGCAAGTTATTTAACATCTCCGAGCCTCGGTTTTTCTTCTCTGGAAAAGGAAGGATCGCTGTGAGATCATTGTGAGGACTCCATGAAGTTCACCAGAAAGTATTTAGCAAGATGCTAGGCATGGGAGCAGGGCTTAAAGTGCTATTGTCATCAGGATTACTAAATAACAGAGAGGTGTCCCAAACGGGTCATAACTGACCATTGGCATCCACGTGTGAATGAAAAGCGAGGTGCCCTGTCGTCACGTTAGGAATCCCCCACTTTTTCCTTGGCCAGTTTTGCTCTGTGGTTAGAGTGTCAGCCCACGAACCAAAGAGTCACAGGTTGGATTCCAGTCAGGGGCATGTACCTTGGTTGCAGTTCGGTCCCCAGCCCTGGCCGGGGTCATGCAGGAGGCAACCAAGCGATGTGTCTCTCTCACGTTGATGTTTCTCGCTTTCTTTCTCTCTCTTTCCCTCCCATTCTATCTGAAGATAAATGGAAAATTATTCTCGGGTGAGGATTTAAAGAAAGAAGTAGTCCTCACTTTTATATAGTGTTTCATAAACTAGAAAATATTTCCACACTCATCAAGTTACAAAAGCTGGAGAAGCAAGATGGATGGAGTGACTACCTCTGTTTGAAGGGGTGGGGCCAGTGAAGTTAGGGGCTTTGTCAAGAGCTGGGTAAGAGTAGAACCTCAGGGGTGACCCAGATTTCCCGGTGAGAGGCTCAGCATCCCATCAACTCCACACCATTCCCGGGAAGGAGATGGATCTTGGGTCAAGACAGGTGGTCAGACATGTAATTTCACCACGTCCTCCCCCTTCCAGTTACCACTGTTTCTGTGCGGGAAGAGACTCAGCCATCCATTTCAATCCTTTCTACCAGCCTCCTCT